CCTACAGTCTAGCATCCAGAATATTAGAAACGGACAGCAACATTAGTCACTGATGGAAACTCTAGAGCACAAAATGAATCAGGATGGGTGGTAGGCACAGCCTCTCTCATCTTAACTGGCTTGCCACCAACATCTAAGCGCTGGGGTTCACAGGCATCTTTTGGTGTCTGCGGAATGGTTATTATATTTTCAAGTTCCATCAGCAGCAATAGAAATGTCCAGGAATATTTAATATGGATAATTCATAAGGATCTGATACAGGCTACAGGCTTGTATGGTCCTAGATTTAAATGATATTTTATGAGCTGATGCAGCATTGTGCATTGCTGTGAACATTCATGCCAGAGATATTCTTCAAGGTTGAGCCTCCATTCAGAACAGCCAAGGATCATTTTGCCATGCACTTACGTGGGCAGAGAGCTTTGCCCTCATAAACCTTTTCTGCAGATTGTACAGAGCTTTGCAAACATGTCTTAGCTAAATTCCTCACCCCACCGCACAGTAGACTAGCACTGCTTCATTTTTTTTACTGTGGGAACACTGAGGCAGAGAAGGCAAAGTTGCTTTCTGATGCGTGGCGATAGCTGCATGAAGAGTAACCACGCAGAAAGTTCATCAGAGAGTCAGGAGCAGACCTAGGAGTCCTGACATCCATTCCTCTAACTACTAGTTACAGTCCTCAGAAATACCCATATTTACTATTTTAGCCATATAATTATAGGTACTGAATAAATCCATTAGGAAGGCTCTAAGGGGAGGTATCATCTATAAACCTTACGGTTCAAATTAGACAAATTCACTCAGCCTCAGTGAAGCCCACAGCCATGCATGGTGTGACACAGGACAGAGAGGGTGCTGGGAAATATTCAGAAAAGTAAAGTTCAGACAACCGATCCCTGATGGATTTCCTCCAGGAACTGTGCTCTTTCTGCTCGTCCTGCAAACACCTTGGAGAATCGGCTAACGCTGACTGATTTCTCCGTGTTTGTCACCTGGAAACTCGGAGGCACGCCACCCCTCGGTAAAGACATTAAACAAGAGAATCAATGTGCAAATGACCGAGGCTGTTCCTTTGCCCCTTGCGCCAGCGGCTGCACCCTGTCACTACGCTTTCCCTCCGAGGTGTTTGCACTGAGTGGCGAGCGGTTTCCCACATATTGTTTGCAAAGAGCATCGGGCTCTTTCATGCTGGAAGGTGCTACCTAAATGGAGGTGCCTCTCTGGGCTTCAAGAAGCAAAGAAGGACGAGAAAAAGCAGCCAACGCTTTCCACTTCGCTCCACGTTTTGCAGCCTGGACACCTCTCGTAGGCGAAGCAGAGATGCTAATTTCTCACCACCTATGTTTTGGTGGGTGATTTAAAGTCCAGGTCTTTGATTCAGCTAATGGGAAAGGTGAAGGTTTTTTGTAAAATGTGGAATGGGGAGCAGGATTTCAGAAACACACCTTATTTGGGGCCCTTTCCTGCTCTGCTGTTACTGTTTGAACACATCTATTGTTTTCTCCAGTGAAATCCTCCGCTTTGATCCATGCCAAAACCAGCAGTCCCATTTGTAATGCATGATGCAACTGAGCAAAATTGAGGATAAATTTTTACAAACAGGAGCCAGTGCCATCAGATCATTGCTTTATAGCAGCATGGTTTTCCCTAAATCAAAGGCAGAAGCTTCATAAGGATCTTATTAAAAAAAAAAAAAAAACCCTGCTTTAACTGGATTCCAGTCTCACATTGCAATGTGTGAGTTTGCCACCAAACAGCAATGCCAAAGTGAGGCTTTAGGCCAAACAACCAAACCAGCCTCACAGCAGCTATTTAGCACCTGGATTTTAAAAGTCAATAATTCAGCTGTTTTGTGAGTTAAAAAAACAAATAGATCATGCTATATGTCATCAGCCTGGGAAATAGCCGAAGTGAGATCTCTGAGATTGAAATGAAAGCCAAGCTAGCACTGCGGAAGGACAAGGTCAGAGCAAAAGGAGGGTTTTGGGGGTCCAAAACCCGTTTCCCTCATTCTCCCCCTGCCTAGACTCTTCCCAGCTCCTGGGTCCTCTCCCTTCCCCCCAGACTCCTTCCAGCTCCGTCTGCCTACACGTCCCATCAGCGAGAATTTCTTCTTGGGTGGTAGCAGCAGCTGGCAGGGCTTGGACATATTTGCCCCTGTTTGACATCCCCCACAAAGAGGTGCTTGGGGTAGGTATTCCTCCCACGCTGCCTTCGCTACAGGTCTGGATCCAGCCTGCCAGCTTTCATCTCTCGCCCAGCTTGGCCTAGGCTGGCAGCATTTCTGCAGCAAAACTGGCTTTATTGGACATCATTTGAGTGTAACTGTAGGGGGATCAGGACCAAGACAGAGCTCCAATCAGGCAGACAAGGCCCCAAGTTTTTTGGATCCCATATGGGTCCCATATGGAAAAGCTTCATTTTAATTGTGGTTGCAGCCTGGACAAAACCCCGATGTGCTGCCATTTGGAGGCAAAGGGGCTCAAACCCCACAAGGAGAACTACATCGGTGATACTAGATCTGAGAATATCTTCTCAGATATTCACATCTAGCTCGTTCTTCGTCATCGTCCATGGGACACTTGTTATAGCTGAATCAAGAGTCAATCCACTGCAAGGAGGAGATCACAAGATCTTCTTGCAGACTTTAAGCTATCATCCCTCCATAGAGCATCCTTAAGGGTGTTTGTGAGGGGGGAAGAGCCAAGAATTTCCAAGGACAACTACAGGCAAAATCAAGAAGCATCTCCTAAGGTGTAGGAGGAAAGACCCTTTGTTAAAGAGTGTTCACACAGTTGGGAGAAGGGCTAGGTTAAAAAAAAAAAAAAGCAAAAGGCATCTTTTTATTCTCGGGGATATAAGATCCCAAAGAGAAAGGAGATGAAACATGAGGAGGGCAGAGGGGCCTTCAATCAAAGGAAGGCTAATAATCTAAAAGACTGAAGTTAAAGCGCATTAGTTAAAGCATATTACACCCGTGGGCACTCATTCAGAAATGAAGTTGTCTTAGTTCACGGTGACTAAATCATCCTTCAAGGGAAAATTTAAAGAGATCTAAGTTGCGCTGGTGTAGTGTTAAGGGGATGCTTTCCTTATGGCTTAGCCTTTTCCTGAGTGGAGCAAACCCCCGGGACGGTGCAGCTGCAAGTCCAACCAGCCAGCCTTGTTTTTGTCATGGCCTTGCTGGTGGCAGAAAATAGCAGTATTTTGAAGCCCAGCAGGCAAATGCCAGTGTGCCCCCAGGTTCTGCTCCATTTGCACCCCACGAGCAGGGAGGGAGTCCAGGGACCGCTGTCTGACCCAGAGGGTCTCTTGGGCTGGAGGAAGGTGCAAGCAAATTGAAAGCCCCAGGACACCATTGTCAGTGCAACCGGTGAGACCTTCCCCTAGAGGAAGGGACAAGCTGAGTATCCAGAGCTACATGTGGGCTGGCAACGCCAGCTAGGCTATGACAGAGGTTTTGGCAAAGCCTTTACAATGCCTTTTCACATCAGTCTTGAGGAAGCACAGGTACCTGTTAGTCCTCTGGATTAGTCCTTCAGCAGGCTAGTGGCTGCATTCGGTGGTCCGGAGTCGTTCCTGTCTCCAAGGCCTATCGGTCTAACGATTAGTATCTATGAGACCTACTGTTTCTGAGTCACCCGGCCTTACTTCAGGACTGCCAGTGCAGGTGTGGGTGAATGACCTGGGATGGGTTGTGAAACGCTCACACCTACTGCAGAGCAGGGCCGGCTCTGCGCAGCGAAGCTCCTCGCCGTAGGAGGCGGCGGGCAGAGCCCAGGGCTGGCTGCCAGCAGCGCCTGCCTCGCAACGGGGAGTTGGCTGAAGCCTCCCTGCCTCCGTTCCCCGCTCTGTGGCACAGAGGCCACGGCCCCTTTGCCCCTGGGGCAGACAAAGCAGCCAACGCTGCGAGGACCACAGCGCTCAAAAAGCCCTGGCTGCCC